CTCCGGGGATGGGGACACCGGCCCTGGGCGATCTGTGCAGATGAACTTTCCTCCTTTGCTGGCTACTGAGAAACAAAAGCAAACTCAGCAAGACAGGGAGGGATGGGTGGGAAAGGGGAAGAGAAGATCAGGAAGGCACTGGGCCAGCAGAGCTGCCTTCCTTCCCGGGGCCTGCTACAAAGTCGAGAACCAGGGACAGTGTGTAGATGTCCCCAACTCACAGAGCCCTTCAAACCCATACTAGAGCCAAGGCATGGTCTCCGCACACTGAAGGGAGCCCACACCCCAGCTTTATCCCCAGAGTGTAGAGGGAGGAGTTGAGGGTGTTTAAACACAGCAGAGGGGTCAGTCACCAGCAATGTCAAAGCCCTGAGACAGCCACAACTTGAAAAGCAAACATAAACTGCGAGAACCAGGTGTTTTGTCTGTTTCCAGGGATCAGAATGGAGGGAGGCAGTTGCCCGGTGTTAAGAGGTGGCCCTGTCCCTTCTCTGCTGGCCTTAGGAGTCCCATGAGACTTCATACAGCTTTGGAAGGAATGTGTGGAGGTGGGGTACATGCTAAATAGTCACCCAGGGGTTCAGACACGCACAGCGGCCGGCCCAGAGAGGAGAGGAGGGTTATATGCGGCATTTCCCAAAGGTGCCTGTGGGCTGAGGACAAGCCCCACTCCAGCTCTCTCTCTGCCACCATGTCTAGTTTGGCCACATTTCTCACCTGTGCTAATATGCAGGTGGATGTGATAAAACTAAATCGGTTAGAGAGCCGGTTCCACCAGCAACTTTTGGAGTGCAAAGTTGCTACCCTCTCAGGAGTCCTCTTTGGAGGGACAGGCATGTACGTGTGAGTGAGTGAGTGAGTGGGAGAGGGGAAACTCACTTACCAGTCCCCTTTCATAGTCGGATGAAATCGGGGTACAAAGGGCTGACCTCTCCACGGTCACAGGACAGCGAGGAAAAATAGGCTCGGACTCCAGAAGCCTTGCCCCTGATTCCAGGAGGCCTCCCTGACAATAGGGCATTTCCCATGAGGGTCCCAGGATCCCTGAAGACCGGAAAAACGACCTACCATAGCAGTCAGCAGGGACTCTGCCATAAAGCCCTGGGGCTCAACCAGGGTGTGTGCCCCAGACTCCTCCCCTCCCCCCCATTGGCCCAGCCACACACCCCTGCATCTAGCCCCATGTAGGTCCAAAGCGCTTCAGGGCATGCACTGTGGGCCACCTCTGAGGCATGGGCCCCTGTGAGTTCCTATGTGAGAGCCAGAGAGAGGGACAGCCAGGGAGAAGCCAGGCCCCCTGCTGGGAGGAGAGGCCCATCTCAGACAAAAGCAAAAGGGAGGCGGTTGCTTCAGGAGGCCGGGAAAATACCATTGTTGCTGATATATGTTTCATTTTTCCCTTGTGATTTTGAAATAAAAAGTTCAGACCCATTGGGTGGGGCAGGGTGGGCGTGATGGGAGAGGGGACAGGGCAGCTGGACTGGGGGCAACAAGGATCAGCCTAGTTGTTGGCTTCAGACATGGAGGCCACGTGGTTGAGGCCAGCGAGCCCAGGGAGGCCGGCCAGGCCCGTGGCCCACGGGTCGGGCAGCGGGAAGTAGGGCCGCGCTGCGGCCACGTTCTCGGCCAGCGCAAAGGCCAAGAGGCCCCCTGCGTTCCTCTCGGCCTCCAGCTGGGCGCGCCCGAACAGCTTCATCTGCGTCTCCTCGAACTGCCGCTCGAGCTCCTGCAGGCTCAGCGCGCCCTTGGGAGCCGCCAGGAAGTGCTTGGCCGGGCTGGGGCCTGGGAGGCAAACGGCAGCCCCGCCCAAGTGGCCGCCCACTTCGCCCAGCGCAGGTGGCATCACGAAGGCCGCCTTCTCCGGGGCGGGACCTCCCGGCCCGAAGAGCAGGCTCGCAGCCCTCCAGGCAGCGGGCTTGCGGCCGCGTCGAGGCCGAGCCATGCGGCAGCTCTGGCGCTTGATGTGGCGGTGCAGGTGGTCGGAGCGCGTGAAGCTCTTGTAGCAGAACTCGCACTGATAGGGCCGCACGCCCGTGTGGATGCGCATGTGGTTCTTGAGGTCGTAGTTGTGTACGAACTTGGCGTTGCAGTGGATGCACAGGTAGGGCCGCTCCCCCGTGTGCTTCCGCATGTGGATCTTCAGCTTGTCCTGCCTGCAATGCAGATCTGGGAGTCAGTCCCGGCAAGGAACACCAGGAGCCAGTCCTAACTCTCTGCTCCTGCTTCCCCCAAGACCACGAAGACTCCCTACTGCCATGGCTTCACAACCCAGGAATGGCACCCATGCTCGGGTTTACCTTCAACCCTGCCCTGCCCCAAACAGGCGTGGATCAGTGGGCTGGACCAGGAGCAGTGTCCTGAAAGGCCTCCTCCACTCCAGAACCCCTTCTACTCCTAAGCTCTGAGTAACGAAGCATCCACCTTTTGTCAGGGGCCGGTCTTACAGACTAGAAAACAGACCTGCTGGCGACACAGGCCCCCACAGGTCAGCAGCCTGTCCTTAGTCCTCTGATGGGCCAGGGACCTCTGATGCTGGGTTGTGCCTTAATCTCATACCCACTCTCTCCAACCGACAGTCTCTCTCCGTTTCATCATGTGCGTTTGCCCAGAGCCCCTGGGCCCATCCCTGGGCTGTTGTGCTCTGTCTGTCGTCAGTGCTAATCTGGGAGGCTACAGAACCCACATACCTTGTTCAAGTCTCCTGCACTGTGGTTTCTTTTCCCAAGCCCTGGGCTCTGCTCTTTGTCTGCAGACAATTCCAGGATTTACAAAAGAGCCAGGTGTAACAAGAATGCAGCCTAATCTAGGGCAAAGCTTTTCAGGATTTAAACTGTATTATTCAGAGGTAAGGTATGGTGTAGGGGTGGGGCTCCCACCAGGGGGTTGGGAGCCCCTGCTCCAGCTGCAGACCCACCACTAACATGCTGGGTGACCTTAGGCAAGTTACTTAACCTCTCTGCATATAGCTGAACCTAGGGCCAGACATCAATTCCTATTGTCCAGGGCTGATGATGAGAATCTGGGTTTGTCTTACGCTACATTCAACACACCTCCTGGTGATCTTAAAAAGGAAAACTGACATCTCAGGGTTGTTTTCCTAAAGACTGAGAGCTGCATAAACTAGCTAAAAGAGCTTTTCAGCCGGGCTGAGGTGGGGTCAGCTGGGCTGCAAGGACCCCTCGCAGGATCATTCTGGGGCCTTCCCTGACCAGGCCTGAAGCTCTGTGTCCAGTCTCCCACCTCTCCCCTGCAGGTGTGGCTTGGGTGGACCGTCTGCCTATAATTTTTGGCTCGGGTTTTGAGGTCAGAGCAGATGTGGAGCTCAGGCATCCGCCCTAAAATGGCCAGATTTAAATCACCCTCAACATAACCCCAGGACAACAGGAGCAGGTCCTGATCTCCTGGTATCCCCTGGCCGCTAGAGGTCTCACTGGCTCTCATTTTCAGGAAGGTTCCCCAGGGGCGGGGCAGGAGAGAAAAGGACATTCTTGTGTACACTAGTCGGGACCAAGGGAGGAGGACCAGAGAGGACATACCTGCCCCTTCCACCTGTGCTCAAAGGAAGGGTGGAGGGTGCCTTGGATGTGGGAGTGGGGAGTGGGAGGCCTCCAGCTGGGCGCACCTGAACAGCACATCCCTGCCCCTCCCACAGCTCACCAGCTGCCCCCAGGCTGCATAGTGCCCTGAAGTGACATTCCATGCTCCCTTCCCCCCCTTCCCCAGCACACTGCCTTTAAGGTATCTGTAACCCTCATTTCATCTGGGTAATTAGATGTTTGAGCAGGAAGGGGCCTTAGAGAGCATCTGGGCCAGGAGGTCTCAAACTTGAGCATGGATCAGAACCATTATCAGGGCTTGATGAAACGAAGAGTGCCAGGCCCCACTTCCAGGGATTCCGATTTAGCAGGTCTGGGATGGAGACAGTAGAGAATTTGCATTTCTAACAAGTTGCCAGATGCTGCTGCTGCTGCTGCTGGAGCTATTCCGTAGACCAATTTGAGAACCAGGGACCTAGACTAATCCTTCACCCTGCAGGTGGGCAAACTGAGGTCTAGGAAGGGGAGCTCCCCACGGTCACTGAGAGCTTAATGGCAGAGTTGGGACTAGACCTCAGGTCTGTTGGCTCCCCGCCCAGGCCTTTCTCCTCACCACCGTAGGAAACAGTGCGGGTACACAGAGCATCCGTATCCCAATAGTGATGCTGCATAGTCCTGAGGGATACGTCTGGGGATTCAACACGTTCACTCAGGCTCTGACAAAAACACCGATGCTAGGTGGTCAGCTAGGCTCACTCTCTGGCTGTGTGACTCCTGTCCTCACCAGCGTAGGACTCCACTCAGAGTCATCAGTGAGACTTGAAATATTGCCTCATTTCACCCTCAGCACAACTCTGTAAGGTAGATTATTTTCAAAATCATTAATATACATAATTAGTGGTGTTGACCCTGAGGGTCACCCTCAAATAATAAATAATGTAAATGGTAAACTTCAGATATCAAGGGCTTCATTCCTTTACTACTACTACTACTACTACTACTACTACACACACACACACACACACACACACACACACACACACACTCACCTCCACAGCGTCTGCCTAGCTTTTCACGAGGGCATCTAAAATACATCACATTTCAGTGGCAATTGGCTCAAGTGCGTAAGAAATAATTTCCTTTCATTGAGCACCTGCTATAGGCAGATGAATATACTCTCTCAATAACCCTGGAAGGTTGTTATTCAGAGGCAAGGTATGGCATAGGGATGGGGGCCCCCATTAGGGGCCTGGGAGCTCCTGCTGCAGTAGCAGACCCACCACTAACTTGTGGGGTCACATTTAGGCAAGTTACTTAGCCTATCTGTGCAGAGCTGAACCTAGGGCCAGACATCAATTCCTATTGTCCAGGGCTGATGAGAGAAACTGGGTTTGTGTGAGCCAGATTCAACACACCTGGAATGTTTTCCTCACTTAGAGGAAGAGTTAGGGCTCAGAGAACTCAAAGCTTTGCAATGGTATCTAGCCTGTGAGGGGCAAAGGAGCCTGGGGCATGGTTTGTTTTGCAAGCTGTTCTGAGGTTGAAAAGGGTGAATTTTCAAACCTAGGACTCCCAGCATGAGGCATATAGGGCTGCCAGAACAATCAAAATGGCATTTTAGTCTGAAGCAGTGGGCCCAATAACCTGCATTATTAGCAGTATATTCCCCAGGACCCTGGAAATACTGATCTAATCTAATTCCCTCTCTTTCAAAATGAGGAAACTGAGGACCGGAGAGGAAAAGGCTTTCTAAGGTCATAGCCTCCTTATTCCCGTAATGACCTTTTCACATGGCTATATAGCACATGTGTATTGGCAGAGCTGGGCCCAGTGCCAGGCACACTCCAGGAACTAGACCAGGTCTTTAGCTACCTAAAGCCTCAGTTTTCTAACCTCTAAAATAGGGGAGCGGGGAAGCTGGCTGCACCATTTTGACCTCTGGTGTTTTATGTCTCCCTCTGAGTAATGGGCTTATACTGAATCTCCTTCTGGCTAATTAGCTTCATACATTATAGCTCTTCTACCTCTGCTTCTTCATGAATCTGGGCTGCTCATGGAGGCAGCATGAGTGTAGTTGGGAAGCATTCTAGCCAGAAACTCAAGAGCAGAACTTAGTCACTTTCCTTCAGGACTAGAGGTCTGGTGGTCCTGCTTAAAATGTTCCGAGCTTCCCTTGTCCAATGGTCTATGTGCTAACTTACCCCTTAGCATGGCTTCCAAGACTCTTTACAAGCTCACGCCTTCCAGATGACTGGAAGATGACTAAGTTCTGGGGATCCCTGGTGATTACAGTTAGCAAGACTATAGTGTAAACTTCGAAGTTGCTAAGAGAGTAAATCTTAACTGTTCTCACCACACCCACAATAAAAAGGTAACTGTGAAGTGACAGATGTTGACAAATCTTATTGTGGTGATTGTTTTGTAATGCATACACATATCAAATCATCATATTGTATATCATAAACATATACAATGTTATATATCAATTATGTCTCAGTAAAGCTGGAAAAAAAGATCGCTCCATCTACTTTACCAGCCTCTGCCCCTCCCTGTACTGCACCCACACACCACATGGATATGCTGTTCCCCTAGAAGCCATCTTTAAACACCTGCCACCGTGAGCTGGACTTCTGGCTCTCCCCTGCCCCGCTAATGCACAGCCTTCCCATTATGGGATGAATACTTGGTAAACCCTGGCTCCTTCCCTTTCTGGGCATGTCTGCTTAACATTTGGACACCAATACTTCATTTTTAGGGTCCTCCCGAAGATCCAATGGTGCTAGCTCCTTCTTTCCAACTGTGAGCCTCTCGTTCCAGCCCTCCTCCTCCCTGCACCCATGTCTTTCGTCTGAGTTTACTTGTGCAAATTGCCCTGCCTGAAATGTCTCCCACTCCCAATCTCCCTGACCCTTCAAGGTCAAACTCAAGGCAAGGGCAATCCTCCACAAACCCTTCCCTGTCCATCCAGGTTTTGTCCTTTGCCTTGACCTTCCAGAGTATCTGTGACCTGAACATTGCGCCCCCAGGCAAGTCACCCAAAAGAAAGGAGGGAGCAAGAGAAGATGAAGTGTCAATGTCATCTTCTCCTGCCCCCTAATGGCCCCAGAGGTGTCAACATTACCCTCTTACCAGGTCATGGGCACTGGAGGCCAAACCTCTCCCTCCGTACTATCTATGGCCCTGTTTGATCACACAGGTGCTCCTGGCAGATGGAAACACTGTTCAGAGGCCATCTTTGCTGGCTTTATTTTCTGTGCATGTTAGTTTCAGGGCAGGGGTTGTCACATGTGCTATTTCCCTTAGGTGCCTTCACACGCACAGAGCCACCACCCTGTCCCTGGCTCCCTGTCTTGTTAGGAGCTCAGACAGCAAGATAATGTGGAAGGCTGCAAATTCATAAGCAAGGAGCACTGGCCCCGGCTGATGCAGGAAAGAAAGCCAGGCTCACAAATATTCCTCTTAGTATGTTAGCACAGATCAGGTGGCTCCCGTGCGCCAGGTGGTAATAACGCCTTATCTCACTGAAGCCGATGAAGGCGGTGTTTCCGTCATTCTATGAGGAAATGGAGGCAAAGGGGATGCAGTCATGTGTCCATAGCTTCCCTGATCTTGGGCAA